AGAATTGCAAACCTTAAGTGGCAATGGGCAGGGCACATTGCTCGCAGGACCGATGGCCGCTGGGGCGGAAAGGTCCTCGAGTGGCGACCGCGTACCGGGAAACGCAGTGTTGGCAGGCCCCCCACAAGGTGGACCGACGATCTGGTAAAGGTCGCGGGAAGCCGCTGGATGCGGGCAGCATGGGACCGATCGCTGTGGAAATCCATGGGGGAGGCCTATGTCCAACAGTGGACGTCTTTCGGCTGATGATGATGATGATGATGACGGGTCATTGACTGACTTTTTATCCCGGAAACATATTAGGTTCCTGAATGGGTTTTCCAAAAACTAAAGTTAACGTGGAAAACGTCACGGGCGGCCAGTAATAATATTAAAAATGTGCAAGTGAGCCTGTCTGAATACATCTTCACGCCTAAATCGCTGATGTGATTTAGCTTAAATATAGATAGTAGGGGTCCTGGGAAAGGATATATGATAGTTAGTAAATAGAAAAACTGAAGTATTTATGCCCCGAGGAGGAAGTTTGTATGGGAAACAAATCTTCCACGCACACGAAACTAGTATTATTATATAATATCAATATTTGTAGCTTTAGATAGTTTAACCATAACTTTGAAACTAATTTATTTATTATAGCAACAAATTGTTTGCTTGACACATTGATTGCAGGCACTGTCTCTCACCTATAACAAATAAACATACAAAGTGCACGCTTTCCAGTTTGTCGTTCGAATCAAATTATAATTCTGTTTGATTTCTAACGATGCATGTTTGTAGGATGTCGCATGCACCAGCTATTATATTCCTTTTTTAGTAGGTAAAAATCTTGAAAAAATATTTCGCTTAATAACTGTTGTTGAGGTATTTATTGCCTTTCTCGATTTTCGAATATTCTGGTAGTTTCTGGTGAATTTCCAAAAACTTTCTCTCATACTTTGTTCTTAAAAATACAAACACAACAAAATAGCTATATTGAACTAATTGACCGTGTGCGATATGAAACTATTTTTTTTTTCTATAATTACCTATATAAGATTATGTGTATAGACTAGTTGTAGTCTCATCACTATCACAATGTTGATATAGGTATACACTAAAAATATTGAAAAGTACATGAGTGAATTTCTCAAATGTGAGATTGGGCCATACCCACCAGGCGGGCCCAGTGCGAATTGGTGAGTGCTAACGATTGCAGATGCAACCTGGCTTAACCGGCCTTCCGAAGCACGAAGGAGCTCGAGATAGTAAACTTTTGGTCTTCCATCCAATGACCGACTACTTCAAAAGTTGCTTAATTTCAACGATCGCAGTCTACCGCGCTAACTACTTGCGCCATCGAGTTCCTCAATTTCAGTTATGAAATTACAATGTTGTATTATTAGAGCAGGTTTTACTGCTTGTACAACAAAAGCTCGGTTCGGCACTATGGGTCCGCCGACTTCGGTGTAGTATTTGTTGCTGTATTTGCCATGTATGCCACCGGTGGTATTTAGTCGACCGCAGGTAGACAAATCATTTATTTAAGCTTTGGATGCAATTTTGATGCAAAATTTTTAACATTACGCAAGTATCAAATATCGAATTTCATTAAAACATTACAAAAGCTTCAGTTGAGTTTGAAGTATGTAAATAATATTTATCAAACGATAAACTGAAAGACATCAATACGTCTTTCAGTTTATCGTTTATGTTAACAACCTGCTATCAATATAGCAGGTTGTTAAAGTTTCACGTTAAAGAAGAATTTATTATTGCAATGAAAAGAAGAGAAATGCTAGCAAAATGTTATTCGCCTTCTTTGGTAAAGATATGACCTTTGTGACATACAAATCTAGCCCAGCCACAGATAAAGTGTTTCCTCGCGATTGTTCCGCGCATATATTTATCTACGTAAACGTGTTATAGACATAACAATGTCTTTGTTCGTTCGGCGCATCATAATATATATTGTTTTATATTAAGCGCTTCGAGGACCAGATCATATTGTAGAGAACAGCAATATTTTTTTTTCTGGGTTGGGCCTTACTGTGTTTTGATTTTAAGCAGCCGAACACTGACGATGCAGTAGGTAAATCATGCAGTAGAGTTCTTAAACACTTTGAATATAACGCAAGTTTTATTCCATATCACAAACTTTTACCACTTTTCGATACGCTTATCATGTTCCTATTTACCTAAAATTAAACTTTGTTGTGAATTTGTCATTGCAAGTCAGATACCTAAATATTAAATGTAAGGTAGAAGGTGATAATTAAACAGATGTAGTGTTTACCAACTTTATACACGTTAAAGTATTTCCTTATAAACAACATTTCTTTCCATGTTTAAAGGTGGTAGCAATAGAAATAAACTTTGACGTGAACTTACACGGGAGCATACCACATAGACCTGACGGTGGGAGAAGCAGTCCCCTGTCGTAGGGCTACCCCGGCGAATTTGCGATTTTGCCTTTGCGATTTATGGTCATGGCGAAACAGACCTACAGGGGAAACTGGAGCCTTAGGAATTTAAAAAGAGGTCATTTGGTATTTAATTATTAAGAGGTACAAACACTGTTTCTGCCTGAGCAAGTTCGGTAAAAAATGGGGCTTCTACTACGTTCCGGTACAAAGCTTTAACTTGCAAAGTAGTGCCGTTGCAAAGTTTGCAAAGATGGCTTTAAATTTCATAATAACAAAACAGGTATACGCAGAAAAAGTCTGTGGTATGGCAAATCCGGTGGGTTAAAAGTGTTTTAGAACTCTACTGGATAATTAATGGCATTGTCAGTGTTTACCACAGTATCTAATAAGTTATAAACAATCTGTTGTCCTTCAAAGGACTTCAGTAAGATGTAATTAATGACCGCTGCTTGGTCCTGTTCTTCGGGATTAGTCTAGCTCTTTCACATCAATCGCTCTATTGATTTTTTCGGGTCAAGCGCAATGCTTGGATAAATTTTTGAAATCAGGTTTTCACAGGAAATGCACAGATCGGAAGGGACAGATATCATGCCATCTTTTTCGGGGTAATCACCGTTACCCAGTTTTAGCTAAAGAACCAAAAAATTACTAGCAGAAACCACCTCCAAGGTAAATTTATTCCTCATATTTTTTGTTAAGTTTCAAGTTTTAACAAAGGGCCACAATGATGATCTTTTAAAAAAACGCTTTTATTTCATCAGCACATGTTCCCCTTGGAACTACCTCTACTAGTAGAGTTTGACGAAAGTCTCCTGCCAGCAATGCAGTCAAAACACCCATCAAACTTTTGTTGCTGCGTATATCTCTATTTTTTAATGCCATAGACCTGCTTGGTTGTGGTAAGCCGTAATTTTTTAGGGAAAGTCCGTCTTAACTTAAAGAGGCTTCTTCAATTTCAATCAGACATTTGTTTATTTATTTATTTATTTATTTTTTGGAAGACCAACAGCTATTAATAAAAATAATAAAAACTTAAATAACAACAGAAAGCCAATTACAGGTCTTCACCAATAAAGACACACTAAAACATAATTAGGCACACTTTTAACATAATAATAACAAAAAATAAGCATTGTACAATTGCCTATTCGTCGAAAAATGCACTGCTCAATACCCGCCTCAGTGATGGAACGCTAGTATAAAACAAATCAATACCAGTTTTCTCAGATACAACATTAAAACTATTACCTGCACGCAGAAGATATGAATTCTGTCTAAAGTTTGAGGTTGCCTGTGGAACGCATATAACGGGATTAAATCTCAATGGTTTTTTTGTAGCCCTAAGGGAAATCCTAGACAGTAGTGCTGGGCAGTCGATAGCACCAGAAGCTATTTTTAATAAAAATACTAAATCTGCAATTTGGCGGCGTTTTTGCAGTGGTAACAAGTGGTGTTTTTTACAAAAATATAAATATTGGTTTGAATCGTAGTGCTCTTTGGTGCGAAAACAGAGATATTTGACGAATTTTCTCTGGATGTTTTCAATTCGTGTTAAGCACTTCATCTGTTAAATGGTCTATGTCACATTTTACATGCATTTCGGTGTGTCGTTTAAAATTTTCTGGAAGATATTCTTTAAATGCATCCCTCAAACTGAATGGATCAGACATTTGCTAAAATACCAACATCATAGTAAAACCACGTATTCTCCTATATGTGGTGATTGAACAACGCTGCCTCACTCAATGCTGCATGCTAGTTGTAGTCGTTTTCAAGCAAGCCTTCCAAGAAGACTGATAAGTAGTGTGTGCGGGTATAGGTTTAACAACTTCAATAAAAATAACAGATATCTTATAATTGTCATTCCCCATTAAACCGCTTGTTTCATACGTAACAACATTTTTTTTTTAATTTGGAACACTAAATACTTTCAGTGTAATTAATAGCATCCGTGTTAATTTATTTATCAGCAGATAATTTAAAAGCTCTCAAGATGTTATGATAAGAAGTTTCTTTAAGAATTATGTAGTAACTTTTGGTTGAGATTTTAATGAAGTACAGAAACTCAAGATGCCATGCAACGAATTGAAAATATGCCTTATTTAATTAGTTGCTCTTACTATTCTAGAAAATTAATAATACTTTAAATAGTATTCTTATAGTCAGTATATCTTGATCGGAAAGGGTTAAAGCTGATTACTAGCCGGTAACTATTTCTATTACCTACTACTCTTTTCATAAATCAGTGGATTATGAGAAGTGAAGTATTATTCTTTCAAACTACTTATTATCACCTTACTTGTAAAACATCTATTGGATGACGTCACAGAACAGCAGAATGTTAAAATCTTACGAAAAAATATTTCCTTAATAAATAACTATCGATTACGATTAAACACACATCCTTAATTATATTTTGAGTATAAATTCATTGCTAGAATCGTTGATTTGTCTGAAAACATGAGGGCAAATAATGATTAATTATAAAAACTGTTCATCACTATATATATCCGACATAAATACTATAATGCCATGTGGCATTAAGTCCACCGTTTGTTGCAAAATAATAAAGAGTAAATAAAAAAAAATGAAACTCACCCACGCTTCCTACAAGCACGGAGTATGTGAGGAACAGGCTGTAGTCCACCTCAGTGAATTTGAACTTGTACCGCGTGAACCAGTAGGTCATCTGCGCCTCACCTTTAACCCAAACGAAACAGGTATTAGTCAAGTCCACATACAAAGATAGAAATAGATAACGCAAGAGTATGTACTTTACGTGCTAAAAACATCCCAAAAAGAGAAACCAGTGGTCAGCCTTTTGACGCTTATTTATTTCTCCGCATCATTGTTGTAGATACCCCGCGTCAATCGCTATGTCAAACCAGCAAATTGTGCGGTGAAAAATGAGTTTGTTCTTACAAAATAGTACTGCAGACCGAATGCAATCAGGAAACATTACGTGGAAAAGCTCATGTGATGTCTTCGCGTAAAAGCAGTCAGGAATTTTATACAATCTGAGCCGCATGGGGTATTGGAAGTATTAAATTGGACCTCTATTTAGTTGTGTCGGTTCATGAGGTCTCCAGAACTTCACGGGGTAGAAGTTAGAGAAACCAGATTTGTGAAATGATTCTTTGTAATTTTCTTTAATCTCTCTGATGTTGCAAGTGTCTAGTTGTTGTAATACTCGTAGTATCTGAGATATTGTGCTGCAACCGATTACACTCAGGCAAATCTTATGCTTGTTTGCCACCTTTAATTATGGCATTGTTTCATATTGTGTAGCTTGTTTAGCGAATTACAGTGTATTGCAATCACTACTTTCATTCGCTGGCGCTATGTAGCAATATTTTAGGTATTTAAGAGGGTGAAGGTACAAGTTTGAACTAAACTGCAGACCGCAGGCCGCAGCTGCAGACTGCAGGCGACTCTACTAGTATCTATGAATCTCTATGAAATTGATTTCGAGCGCGGCGACATACCGCGGCTGCACAATGCATATAATGCACGGTCAGCCGCAGGCGCTAGCCGCAGTGTCGCCTGCGGTTGTCACCTGCAGCCCATTGCGGACTTGTACCTTGAAGCAGGGGAAGTGAGTGACGGGTACTATCAGTCGCAGCCATAGGATATAAAGATAGACAGAGTACCTATCGCAAATGTCCAAAAAAATTTGTTGTGCATGTGTGCGTATCGGTGTTTGATTGTGAATTTGTGAGTGGTAATGTCGTTCTGTCAAGATATGCTTAAAACAAAGGACACCATAACATAAACTAAATTGTATAAGCAAAATTGTTTTCTTAGTTTCATAGAATTTCATAATAAACTTTGACGGGTAGGGCTTGACAGGACGTTGTTGGCTCTTACTCTATTGGACCAAAGTTACGTCATGGTGTGTCTCTTTCTACCTTGTAGGATTGTCGTAACGGCATGATATCTCTCTTCCCCTCTCTGTCAGTCTTTAAATACTAAGTTTATGGTCACCGCAAACCTCGTTGACGTCCATAGCCTTGTTTTACACTGAGGCGGGCCGGAAAAATATAGTCGAATTATATCTATCGATACAAATTAATTAAGAATTACAATAATTTAGCCATTGAGGTAGCACGTTTGGCCTGCGATCATCGAAGTTAAGCAACTTCGCAATGATCGGTCATTGGATGGGAGACCGAAACCCTATTATCTCGAGCTCAAAGAGGACCAATGGCTTAACGTGCTTGGCCTGAGTCGTGGGTCCTGGGTTCATCTGCAGTCGTTAGCAACCACCAATAAAATGTGTTGACCCGAAATGAAATGTGTTTTCATTGTTACTGCTTGCTAGTACTAATAACGATGACTTCGAAAAACTTTTTATATTCAACTTTCCCTCTCTTTACGCGCTACTTCGACTTTTCAGTAAAAGTCTTTTGAAATGGAGATTTTGAATTTTGTAATTAAGTAGGTATTTATTGAAACGTTATTAATTAAAATAGATCGATCGAACTGGTCAACGTTACATTAGATAGTAATTATTATAATAACTTATTATTATAATAACTTATTTAATTATTATAATAGTAACTGTTTGTTTTTACTAGAGAGAAAGGGAGAGAGAGACATTTTATTGACTTTTAAAACAGACGCACATATTTCTAAAAAGAAAAACACATTGACGATAAACAAAAAAAACTATATTGTTGTAAAGTGGTCAATCGGAACCCTTCGACTACGTGAGAATTTCTATCAGATCTTTTTAAAGTTTTAACATTTTAGAAAGTTACTGTAGATAATAATTATTAAAGTCACAGACTATAGGACTAACGTTCAAAATATTTTGCAATAAATACCAAACCTGGGTGGGTTCCACAACGGCTTAAAAATATTACGAAAATAATCTTTAATTGGCAATCAAACATAAAAGGCATGCAAATTAGAATGTCACACATGATATAAAATTCGAATAATTTTGCCTACATCAACATTAAAATCAGCATTAATCTACCTAATACGTTCAAGGTGATATTATTATTGAATCTCGTACCAGCGGGGCTATTCTGTAAAATTTTCACGCGCGGATCCGATGCGATTCCGAGCGAATCTGTATGGGAAAGGCTCGGATCCGCGTCGGATCCGCGCGTGAAAATTTTACAGAATAGTCCCGCTGTAATTAACGCAATTTGTCGGACGGACTCAAATCACGGACTTATAGACAATATTATAGTCAAACGAAAGTCGTAAATTGAAAAATCCTTCAGATCATAAAAAGTATGCGAGTTAAGTCATTTGCATAAACAACTTCAAAACGGAGGAGGTACTAAATTTTTCAGTATATTTTTTATTGTTGTTTGTTCATATCTCCAAGATGTATGTCTCAATCCAGGTAATAATACTATATGTGTGCCAAATTTCATCCAAATCCGTTAAGCCGTTTTTACGCGTTTGAGTAACAAACATACAAACTTTCACATCACAATAATATTAGTTGGAAGTAGGATTAATTTTTGAGATATGTGGTTCCACGGTAAAAATCGAATAAATTACCAAGATGAAATCTATCGAGATTTTTTTCAATAAACAGATGCGCTTTTAAAATTCAAGTTAAGGAATTGAAGATATATATTTAAAAAGACGAAGAAGAAGTTTTATAAAGATATTCTATTAGCAGCTTCAAAAATAATGATTTGACTACCTACAGTGCTTTAATTTGGTGCTGCGAAATGAGTACCTATGTTTTTTTATAATAACTAACAACATCAATAGTTATTAAAACAAAGAATTATTAAAACAAAACTTTGCACCCGTTGGTTTATGTGTAAGCGAATGGTAAATAATAACTCTATGCCGATCTTTTTTTAATTAATGAAATAGAAACTGTATTATATTTAGCGACTTAACATAATATTCACTATTCCAAAGTACTATATACTTCTGAAACATAATTTATGTAAGTAACTGTATTTTAACATGATACTTTTAATTTAACATGTAACATGATATTTTTCTACTGAAAGGGAATTTTTAAATTCTTTTCAACATTGATTAAATTATGTATGCATTGCCAAAGAACTCCGGTGAAATCTCATTATGGGGTAAAACGATACATTAGGTGACTTTTTAGCTATAATTTTGGAGAAAGGGTCGCAAATGGGTCTCAAGGGCTTACGATATTGGAAAATCAATTGGAAAATAATAGTACCACAATTCAATTTGTTTGAACGACAAAGGAACGAAACCAAAAAGTTTGGAAGCTAATACTACTTATTCTCTTATGAGTATTAATAGTCTTCGAATCAATTCAAACCGTGCTTCCATTTAGATGGCACAAATCGGTATTAATAGTTGTTCTCCCAATTCCAAATCTCATATTCATCAATGCCAAAACCACCGGCGTAATTTTACTTAAACGCAGGTTGTTCAATTTAAATTCATTTGGCAGATCTAGTCTATTTTTGAATTAGTTGCGTTCGTTTGGAATGGCTTTTTTTCCAAATTCAAACCGTTGAATGACCATACCTATCATACGCGTACACATACCTATGTAACCTCTATAAAGCTTGATTTTTTTATGTTAAATGGATGGCAAACAAGCTTATAGCCCGCCTGATCGTAAGCTGCCACCATAGCCTATGGACGCTTGCCATACCAGAAATATCACTCGCACCGTTGCCTACCCTGACCCAATTAGAGCCCTAGAAACTTACTCACCAACAGTAACCTTCTAGCGTACGTGACACACATCTGGGGTGAAGCTATAGACAAGCGGGGAGAGTCTCTGGCTATTAGCCTTGACATCGCCAAGGCTTTTGACAGGGTCTGGCACAAGAGCCTTCTCTCCAAGCTTCCTGCATACGGTCTGCCTGCTCAGCTCTGCGCCTGGGTAGCTGACTTCCTGCATGAGCGTAGAATTCGCGTCCTTACGGACGGATGTAGTTCGCAGTTCATGTCAGTAATTCTACCGAATATACCACGGCGAGTGTTCTGAGGAGCTATTCTTGCTTATCCCTCCATCACCTTTTCTTCAGAGGACCACGCGCGCTGGCCTACGTTGCCATCGACTTACTGTGGCCACTATTCCTACACGAACAAAGAAATTTGGCGACTCATTTCTTTGTCGTACTATTCGTAAGTGGAATTCTTTACCCGCGCACGTGTTCCCTCCTTCCTATAATCTGGGGTCCTTTAAGAGAGGCGTGAAGAAGCATTTTTGCGGGCCGGCAAGGTGAGGATGGTTGGTGTAGCAGTTAATAACTGCTGTACCAGCTATCTTCGCGTTTGGACTTTATCACCACTTAACATCAGGTGGGGTAGAGTCATTTGCCTACCTAGTAATATAAAAAAAAAAAAACAATAATTTACCATCAAAAGGTAGTGATATTTTAGTGTGATATTTTATAAGGTGGAGGTTACTTCCTCAGACCGGCACTCCAATTCGAGCGACAAATCCGCTTTGCCCTACCCTATGGGATATAGGGTTGTTTTTTTTTAATTTATGTTTGTGGCATCGACTTCGAAGTATACCCTTTCCAATAAAAAAAAAATATCATAATCGGACTACTCTGTAAAAAGTTAAGTGTGACGGTATACACAAAAAATATAAAATACTTGAAAACTCCCTCCGTCATGTTTTCATCGGTTGAAAAATAACAAAGTACAGGTAGTAATAATTATTGCCTTTTTCTATTAAGCAGGCAAAATCTCAAAAAGCCGTTGGCGCCCTTAAG